CCCCCCCCCCAGCAAGCAGGAATCTCTGGGAACAGCTCCAAGGCAGAGGGCAGGAGCAGCACATGGCAGTGGGGGGAGGGACAGCTGCTGCACAGGGAACTTAGGGGAGCGGGGAGCTAATATGGGGGAGCTGCTAGGGGGGCTGCCGGTCCACCCTGGTTCCAAGCCCCCACCAGCTCGCTGCGACGGGCTGCTCTTCCTGCAAGCCGTGGACAAAGCAGGCGGCTGCCAAACGACGTTAGAAGGGAGCCTTGCGCAACTTTAAACGAGCCCGTTCCCTAATTGACCAGCAGCGAAACACCGTTAACCGGGACGACTTTAAGTGAGGAGTTACTGTAGTTTGTAAAGCCAGAGCCGCAATCCAAGATGGAGCCTGAGCTGCCATCTTGTGACCGCCATCTTGTTGTTTACTGTTATCATGGCCCAGCCAAAACTGGATCCCACTGGTTTTTCCCGCCACTGGCCCCTCCAAGGACAATTTTACCTCAGACAGTTTCCCGCCTTTGCTGCATATTTTCCCGCCACTCACGGCATAAAGGGGCTGAACTCACCGACGGGCGGCGCAGTCCAGCCCGGTGACTGTGCGTGCGCAGGTCACAGCACCGTGCACCGCGGGAGGGCACCGGCACGGAGACGTTCCATTGTACCCGCTCCTGTTTCTGGGCACAACATCCCAGAGGGTGTCGTGCCGCTTCGTCCCCCCTGAGACATCCAGCGAGGGGCTCCCCAGCGCTCCTCCTCCGCGGCTTCCCGTTACCCAGCAGGTGCAGGCCCTGGACTTCGCCGCTGCCCCCGCCGTGCTGACCACACAGGGAGAGAAATGGGGTTCTCTCCATTGTATTATGGGCCCGAGCTTCACGTTTCACTTTATCGAGGGACCGTTGATTCACAATGACCCCTTCCCTGATTTGTAAATGTAAATGTATCCCCCATCACAGAGCGGGGGGGAGTCAGGGCCCTGCACCCCCCACTTCCTGCGATGCACCAGGACTCTCCGCCGGCCGGGAACACAGGTGGTTTATTAGCCGACAGGAACACAGTCCAACACAGAGCTTGTGAGTACAGACAACAGGACCCCTCAGTCTGGTCCATCTTGGGGGGCAGGGAGCTTAGACCCCAGCCCTGGGGCTCCCTCCATTTCCCCAGCCAGCTCCAAACTGACACCCCCCCAGCCCCTCCGCTGGCCTTTGTCTCTCTCCCGGGCCAGGAGGCCCCTGATCTCTTTGTTCTCCACCTTCAGTTGGCACCTTGCGGGGGGGGGGGGGCAGGCCATCAGGAGCCAGGGTGTCGGCCCTTCTCTGTGCAGACCCCATCACACCAGCTCTCTAGGGTTCTGCAACAATCACCCCCTTATCCCCCCACCTAATAATAAAATAAGGAGATATTGTATCTCCTAGAACTGGGAGTGACCTTGAAAGGTCATCAAGTCCAGCCCCCTGCCTTCACTAGCAGGACCAAGCACTGATTTCTGCCCCAGATCCCTAAGTGGCCCCCTCAAGGATTGAACTCACAACCCTGGCTTTAGCAGACCAATGCACAAACCACTGAGCTACCCCTCCTACTTAGATAGTTGAGAACTGCATAGGGGAAACTGAGGCACCCACCCAGTATTCAGAGACAACATTAAGAACATTCCCACTTCGTCACAGCCCCCAATACACGTCCCCTGTTGTTTTTATCTTCACCTATTGACAGTTTTTATTATTTGCGCTGCACGTAGGGAAGGAGACCTGCACCCCAGTCCACCGGTGACAGACACGGCAGAGGGCGGCTCTGCTCTTCTGAGGAAAAGGGGCTTGTTTTACATCTCAATGATCGATTTAGAGTTACCTTGGCTCCCCTTTGAGGTAACAACGCCCTCAGTTCAGACAGGCTGGTTGGAGGTTAGTTTGTTCATTTCCCGGGTGTCCTTCGACTCTCTCCCATGTAACCAGTCACTGGCTTTTCCTTCCCTCCAGCGTTCCCCTCTGTGTGGGCTCTTAATTTAATCGTGTTTCTGGCATTTTGGGATCTGGCAAGATATGGGTCCAGGGGGATCCTTCACAGCGGCTGGCCCTTTGGGGAGCGGTCTCCTAACCCCAGGACTGTACATATGCAGAGAATTCAGCTCCCTTTTTGGGGGTCACCCTGTGTTTCCCCCTCCCAGCACTGAGTCCTTCCCTGCCCCCTTTTCGTAGAGGGCTGTGATCTGTGCCCTGTGGGCGAGGGGCGTTTACCCTTTGATCAGACGCACCTTTTCCCAGCACCTTTCCCATAACTGCTCCCTGTGTGTCAGGGGCCTGAGAGCTGGAGCCGGGCAGAGCCCCCAGCACGACCAGGCAGGAGAAGATGGAGTCCCGGGGGAACGGATGCGGGGTTCGGGTCCAGGCATCGGAACACACTGGAACCCAGGTCGGGGTTTTTGTCGAGTAACCACAATGGTGGAAGGGAGAACACTAGATTGGTTTATGGGTAAAGTGATGACTCCAGGGTTTTCTTTAGGCTAGACAATAGGCGCTGATCACGCTTGGCTATGGGTGGGGCTTCTTCCAGGGGGCTCACAATGCTTCAGTGGTTTGGATCCCAAGCAAGGATTCGTTACTAGAATTGGGCTGAGAACTGCTGAGCAGGGAGGGGTGGGCAGGCCTGGGTCGTTAACATCTGGAGCAGAGATCCCCCATGATGCAGTGCTTCCCAGCTGTTCTGGTCCCAGAGATCAGTGCGGTTCTTGCCGTGGGATCTCTGGGCTCTGTTCTGTAGCTAACGGAGATGCCTCCTTGTCCCATCTTCGATGCAGATGAGGCCAGGGGAGTTGCCTTAACCCTGTCTCCCTTGTCAGGCGGGGTCTAGGGGTGTGTGTGTGTCCGTCCCCCTTCACTGCTCTCTGCGAGTCTTTTCTCTGATCGGTTTTGGCAGAGGCGGGGGGGGGGCTTTCATGAGTCAGACAGGCTGGATACTGCACCCTGGTTCCCCAAAAACACAGAGCTGACTGGTATCAGGGGTCCCAGGGGGATGGGCCCACCCCAGGGGTGCAAATGGGGAGTCCCCCAGGGCCCCCCCAAAAGGGGGAGTGGGAAAACCCCCTCCCGAGGGGGGTGGCTGACTGCCCGCCCCCAGGGAACCGGAGATGTAATTACTGCGTCCGGAGGGGCCACAGGCGGGCCTGGTGCATGAACGAGCCGAACCCCCAGAGGATGAGCTGGGTGGGAGCCCAGCCGGGGGGGGACCCAGATGGGGGGCACAGAGCCCCAGGTGTGCGGGGAGGATGGGGGGACCCACATGGGGGGCACAGAGCCCCAGGTGTGGGGGGAGGATGGGGGAACCCGGCATCGGGGGCACACCTGGTCCCTGGCACGAGGGAGGGATTAAGGGGGTTTCAGGGAGTCCCTGGGATAGAGGAGGGTCGGGAGGGGGCACCCAGAGAGTTGCGGGGCGGGGATGAGCTCAGGCAACAGAAGCGCCAATGCACGTGGCCCTGCCCAGTTTAGGGGGCAGGTCTAGGGGTCCAGTATTTAGGGGGCAGCTTTGGGGGTGTTGATTTGGGGGGGCAGGTCTAGGGGTGCCTGTTGTGGGGAAAGAGGCAGACAACACTTCCTCCTCCTGGATGGAAATGTAGGGGGACGGGGAGTCGGTCCTAGAGAGGACCGCCCCCCCCCATCCATGCATACTCGGACTCCTGGGTTCCTGGCCCTGGGGGGCGGGGAGGGACACACACACATTCCTCCTTAGTCCCTCTGCTGTGTGCAGGGGAGGGGCATGGAACCCTAGATGGGGAGGGGGGTCCCCATGTATCGCCCCTGCAATGTCCCTGATACCCCACCCCACTCAACCTGAGCTGGCCCGTTCCCCACATCCACCTCCCCTCCCTCCCTGCCCCCATTTCCCCCCAAATCCCCTCCACGCCCCCCCAGTTCTCCCCACAATCCCTCCCCGCCCACCTGGTCCCTCCCACACCCCCGCCCCGCCCCGGCTCTCACTTTCCACAATGATCCATTTTTATTTAATAGAATAACAATAATTAATGTAACAAATTAACTAAGAGCAAACTAAGATTTCTCTCCCCCACCCCCAAGAGTCTGTGGCATCCGGACACCTGGGTACACAGTAGGGGTCTCCTGAACTCCAGCCCCCCAGGACAGTCCATGGTGCCCGGACGCCTGGGTTCACAGCAGTGGATGTCGTAGACTCCAGCCCCCCCCCGGACAGTCTGTGGTGCCTGGACACCTGGGTTCACAGCGGGGTGTGGGGAGGAGTTCCTGGTGCCCGGACGCCTGGGTTTGCAGCAGTGGGTGTCATAGACTCCAGCCCCCCAGGAAAGTCTGTGGTGCCCGGATGCCTGGGTTCGCAGCTGGGTGTCCATTCTCCGCAGCCAACGTCCTCGCTCGCTGGGGTGTGGGGGGGTCAGTCTGGGGGCGACAGACGGATCAGGACAGGCAGCTGTAATGCCAGGGCAAGCCGGGGGGGGCGCAGCCACCAGCCAGCCCCAGTGTAAGGGGGGGGGAATTAACTCCTTCATTACCCCCCCTCCCCAGTGGGCTCTGGCCTGTTTCTCGGGGAAAGGGGTGGAATCCGGGAGCTCCATGTGGGGGGAGGACAGCTGGGGGGGCTCCAGCATTGGGGGAGGGGCCCCATAAGGACTATTGGGGGGAGAGAAGGAGCGATTGGGGGTCAAGGGAAAGGGGTTCCCATGGGGAGAGTGGGGGCAGTGCAGGGGGGAAGGAGGGGGTACCCTATGGGGGGGGAGCCCAGGGCAATGGGGGTGGTTAGAGGTGGGGAGCAGAGGGAACTAGGGGTGATACAAAGACAGGGGTGTGGATGGGGGGGGTCACTCACCCTTTTTGAGCCTGGGGGGGGGCGGGGCGGTTCTTCCCCAGGTCGCTCTGAGCCAGGGTGTCCATCATCCAGCAGAGGGCGCTGGTGCACTTCTCCATCTGGGGGGGGGGAGCGGGGCAGGCGCTGAGGACCCCGCAGCCCCTCCCCCCAGGTTCCCCCCCCGCTTCAGCCATCCCCTCCTTCCTTTGGACCCCTCAGCCCCCCTCTGGCACCCCCATTGCCCCTCCTGACCCCCCCGCACGACCCCTCCTGATCCCCCACCCTGCCTCTGCCATCCCCCCAAGATACCCCCGTCTTTGTACCCCACATGTCCCCCCATCTCCTGCCCCCCCCTCGTACCTGGGTCTCCAGGGTCTTCAGCCGTCGCTCCTGCTCCCGGACCTCGGCCAATTGCTTCAAGGCCTGGTCAACCCTGAGGGGGGAAGGAGCCGGGGGTTCACTTGGGGGGCCCCCAATTCACCCCCTGATCCCCAGGTGTCCCCCCAACTCCAATGCTCCCCATCCCTGTGCCCCCACCCCTCCATACTCACCCCACCCCCCCACAGACTCACTGCTCCCTCCCTGAACCCCCGACCCCCCTACTCACCCCACCCCCTCCCCCTGCACCCCCATACACCCCTCTTCTCCAGGCCCCCCCCCTCACTTCTGAGACGTCCGCCGGAGCCGCTCGGTGTCGCTGTCGCGTTTCTGGCGGCCCAGGGCTACCAGGTGATTCTCCTTCTGCACGGCCTCCCAGGTGAGCAGCCGGGCGTCCTGCTCCGGGGGCAGGTCCCGAGCTGGGGACCCAGGCGTCCGGGGGAACGGGGAGGGGAAAGGAAGACACGTGAAAAGCAGGCAGGGGGGCACCAGGATTTGGGGGGCGGCAATTCTGCGGCGGGGGGTCCTTCTGCACTCCGGGTCTTCGGCACCAATTCTGCGGCGGGTCCTTCACTCGCTCCGGGACCCGCCGCCGAAGTGCCCCGAAGACCGGGAGCGCGGAAGGACCCCCCCCCCGCTGCAGAATTGCCGACGACGACCGGGACCACGGCAGGACCCCCGCCTAGGGCGCCAAAAACCCTGGCGCCGCTCCTGGGTGGGGAGAGGGGCGGGGGCCAGGTCCAGCCCCACATCAACTTGGTGACCCCTGCCCAGCCCTGCTCCCCACCCCCCTGGATCTGCCCCCCGCACTACCGCTCTACTCCCTCCCCCACCCCTGAAAAGAGCAACCCTCAGATCTGCCTCCCCTTCCCCCCTCACCGCTCCCCAGCACTGCCCCTGGTCCT